ACAACCACAACAACAACAAAAGCAACAACAAAAACAAAACAAACGGAAATTCACAAACCATCATCGACAGCAGCAATCAAAACAAATCACGTCAGATCTTCTTCCTTTTCTTCTTCTTCATAATCTCCAGGAGCACAATCTGCTCCCGAACCACAACCTCAACCAAAACTATCACAGGCATCATCACCCACAACCACAACCATGTCACACCTTCAGAAGCTGACCATCAAGGGGGTGCGCAGCTTCGACCCGGACTCCCAGCAGGAGATCACCTTCTTCCCGCTGACGCTCATTCACGGCCCGAATGGCAGCGGCAAGACGACCATCATCGAGGCGCTGAAGTACGCCACCACCGGGACGTTGCCCGACAACTGCAACTCGGGCCGCAGTTTCGTGCACGACGTCAAGTTCGCCGACAAGGCCACCATCAAGGGGAAGGTCCGCCTGCAGTACACCGACGTGGACCAGCGGCCGACGGTGGTCTGCCGGCGAATGCAGACCTCATTTCGACAGCCGCGAAATGGCCAACCGCAGACGGTCACCTTCACTCAGCTAAACTCTGTGATCAAGCGACTGGACGAGGGCGGCGGCCGCCATCCGCATCGGTACGCAATTCACAATGCCAACAATGTCAACAAAAACACTCCCGAGAATGCTAAGGCGGCGGCGGCCACCACCACAACGCCGTCGCTCTCTTCACCGTTAACACCATCGACACCGTCACCTTCACCTTCTTTACCATCATTACCACCGCCTCCATCATCATCATCATCAGCAGCAGCAGCAACAGCAGCGAAAGCCAATGCTTCAACACCCACAAACGCCAACGCCACCAACGCCCCCGGCGACATAAACAACGAGGTGCTCGCCTCGCTGGGCGTCAACCGGGCCCTTCTCAACTCGGTCATCTTCTGCCACCAGGAGGACACCAACTGGCCGCTGGCGGAGGGGAAGGTGCTGCGGGAGCGGCTGAACGGCGTCTTCGGCACCGACGGCTACCTGGAGCGGCTGGAGCAGATTCGGCAGGCACGGGACCGCGAGACGAAGGCCTACTACGTCCTGGAGCGGGAGGTGCAGCACGTTGTGCTGGCGAAGCGCAAGGAGGCCATCAAGCGGAAGGAGCTCAGTGATGAGCAGGCGCGAACGGATCAGGAGAAGCGCCGTGTGGCGGAGCTGGAGGCGGAGGCCAAGGTAAGTTGCTGCTTAGGAGTTTAATTTTTTTTGCTTTATCTAACGACTTTTTTCCCAAAACAGACCCTGCAAGACCGCCTGGACAGCCTGACGGTGAAGGAGGCGCGCGTCGAGTCGGCCAGCAACGCCATCCTCGAGATTCGCCGCTCGCTGGAGGACATGCACAACATGGCACGGGCCATCGAGGGCACCTGCAATCCGGCCATCCTCGCGAAGAGCAACGACCAGGTCAACGAGGAGCTGGAGCACTTTGACGAGAACGCCCTGCAGATGCTCGCCCGAAAGCGCGAACTGGAGGCGAAGCTGGAGAAGCTGGAGGCGGAGCACTCGCGACTGGTCTACGACCGCCAGCGGATCAGCCTGGAGCGGGCAAAGGCTAATGAGTGCGCCAATACGATCTTCAAGCTCTTTGCCGACCGAAACGCCCTCATCGCCACCTCCATCAAGTGCAACTCGCCGGAGTTTCACAGCATACTGGCCAAGTGCAATAGCAACAACAACAACAACAATGTGGGAGGAGCTAGTCCCTCCTGCGCCCTCAACAACAACCATAACAACAACAATGGCGGCGGCGTCAGTCTCATTTCGAACCTGAACGCCAACAAGCTGAACAATGCCGAGCGCAACTACGTGCTCCTTCAGTTTGACGCCCAGCTGGACCAGCTGTCGGCGCTGGCCAATGAGAAGCGGTCGGGCATGCAGATTCAGGAGTACAAGCTGATGCAGGAGCTCGACTCGCTGAAGAACCTGAAGAGCAACGCCTCCCACGAGAAGGCCATCTGGCAGATTCAGCTGCAGAAGGCGGAGCGGGAGCAGGCGCAGCTGGAGCGGACCATGGCGGCGCACCACCTGCACAACCACCACAATCACCTCCACAACCACCACGGTCACAGTCACAGCCCACACAGCAGCCAACACAACCACGGCCTCCTTCACAGCAATCCGCACCACAGTCCGCACCACGCCCTCCACCACGTGAACGTGAACATCGTCCACCCGCCAAATGTGAACAACAACAACAACAACAACAGCATCACCAGCAATAATAACAACCACCTCATCGTCGGCGGCGGTCTCAACTCTCATTCGCCGTCGCCCATGGTGTCGACGCCCACCTCTTCACCCTCAAACACATCATCACCATCATTGTCGGCGATGACGACGCTGACGCCCTCCTCCTCCTCCTCCTCCTCAATGTCGTCGCTGCCNCACCCGCCAAATGTGAACAACAACAACAACAACAACAGCATCACCAGCAATAATAACAACCACCTCATCGTCGGCGGCGGTCTCAACTCTCATTCGCCGTCGCCCATGGTGTCGACGCCCACCTCTTCACCCTCAAACACATCATCACCATCATTGTCGGCGATGACGACGCTGACGCCCTCCTCCTCCTCCTCCTCCTCAATGTCGTCGCTGCCCATGGGCAGCCTGAACAGCATCTTCGACGGGCAGATCAAGTCGCTGGCGGAGAAGGCGGACGCGTATCGCGCCCAGCTGGCGAACCAGTTTGACGCCGGCGCCGAGGAGAAGCTCGCCAGCGCCATCGCCCAGCTGGAGACGCAGGCGGCGGAGCTGCGGGCGGGCATCGAGGCGAACCGGGCCCGGCTGGAGGCGACGCTGGCCACCGCCAAGGAGAAGGCCGAGTACGACTACT